AAGTGATTCAACACAATCTGCTGGTTTCTTCTTTAGATTACTCTTTTTAATGTACAGTGCCCTGAGACAACGTATGTAGTGACTTGGCGCTATATAAATAAATTGAACTTGAACTTGAAGTTTGGACAGACTCCGGCACGGAGCAGTGGCATACGCAGCCGACAAATTTGGCCTTCGGAGGACCCAGCCCCTGAATTTGGACACAGCCCAGGTATAGGTATACTAGACATATTCTAGCACTTATTCAGGTCTTTGTTTAGACCCTGATTAGTCCTACTGATTTTAACTCATCTTATTTAAGACTCAAGTTAGAGCATTTTACATTTTTAGTCCCTTTTTTTCATTAATGATTTCTATCAAATAAACTTTGATAAACTGTTTTGTTAACAAGTGTTTCAAGTTTATTGTAACAAATATTATTTTCAATTCAGTGAACTAGAACAAAATACATTTAGAGCTCCTCAATTAGTCACTTAATACTAGGTTCTATCAAAAACTTTTTCAATCCTTGGTGTAACTGTGGTTGTCTGGACGGACTGTAGGTCAGCCACATAACCACCACTGATTGAAAAATGCATGAAATTATAAAATGTCTTTTCAGCATCTAGAAAAGTTCTAGATAAGACTAACACATTATATAGAACTGTTATAATGCTATATTTGGAGTTACTGATCTGTCCCAATATAGCAGAACTTTTTCCTAAATATTCTTGACTACACTCAAGTGAAATACATTGTTAAAAACTTTTAACTTTCAACAAAAAAATTATATTTTCAGTACTTAAGTATTTTTGAAAGCACATACTCCAGTACTTTAACTTAAGTAATACGTTGACAGAACTACTTTTACTGTTATTGAAGTAATATTTGACCAGTAGGACCAGTACTTTGATTCAAGTAAGGAAACTTGAGTACTTTGTCCACCACTGATGCTAGGACATGCTTGTTTCCTGCTTATAACAGTTTTGATTATTTCCTATAAACCCAAATACCATAATATTCATCTGGTTTCTATTTCCATTTCATTATGTCTCATCAGACAATGTTTTATTCTCTGAAATCAGAATTCTGCAGATAATTATTGGTTCTTTAAACTTTAAACTTTTATGCTACTATAAAAGAAAAAGTTGAGTACTACTTATATAAATGCTGATTCAGCATTGTTTTCCTGTTTACATTTCCTTCCATATGTTTTGAATTTAAACTGCAAACTTAGTGCATTTTAACTTTTTGTCTCTTAAAAGCCTAATCAAGAGCATTAGTGATTAGATACAGTTGGGTTTTTGCAACTTTTATACTTTTTAAAATGTTTAATTTAAAATTAAATTTCTTGTAGAAATACATGGAGATCTCTTCAGTTTCTTCAAAATCACTTTGCTTTGCTCAAATGTGCTTCGGATAACTGAGAAGTTTGTCCAGCCTGTTCTATCTGTTGTCCTTTTATGCTAAATTTAGCTTTCAGCCACTGTCATGCTAATTTTATACTTGAAGCCGCAACAGTCAAAATATGCCAATTTTCAATGTTTTTAGTTAAATATTTTGTTTCTAATACAATGTCTACATTAATACATGATTGGAGTTAATATAACTCAAATTCATCAGGGTTTTTGTAAAAAAATAGAAATGAAAAACAACAAATATTCCTCCTCCTTATTTACTCATAGCTGTTGGCAACAAAAAACTGCTAATTTTACTCATATATTTAAATTTTGCTGCAGATTTTGCAGTGAACTGATACATATTTAGTGGTTAATTTTTCTCTTATATGATACACATACATATACAAATGTATACAATAAAAATATTGAAAAATTACTGTACATATTATGACATCCAAATTAGTTACCGTTCTGATGATTTTAGCATTTCTCTTTTAGTTATTCACTGAAAGGCCTTTTATGAAAGTTGAAGACTTTTTCTTACATGTTGAAAGGTCTCCAGACCAAGAGTAATTCTGGCACAAATATCTCGATTATGTCTTCCAGAACCTGGGTCTAGAACCAAACCAGCACTTCCTCTAACCTGCTATGTATAGTTGTTCCTTTACGTCAGTTCCACCCACACAGAATCTGACAGATGGAGGTTCACCAACCTGAAATGCCACAGCTGAACTCCTGGCCATGGTCCTGTGGTGAGGGAATGGCAGACGTTTTATAAATAACATGTTGCTGCGCTCCTTCCTGGTTCCATTCACTGGAGCTGGTGGGGGATACGTTCTTTAAAGGCTCGATTAAATACTGTTCTTCCTCTGTTGTTATAACACCATGCTTGTTAGAGAAGAAAATGAATAAAAGAAACAAGTTATAAACAACATGTTAACACTGAATGCCAAACCAAAACATCTTTCACATTTTTGTGCTTTATTTAAACTTTGTTTGCTCATTTTATTAAAGATCAAATCTGTATGACTCATAACAAGTTTTATAAAAAGATTTATTCAGAGAGAATGCAGAGGGAAAAGATGCAAATAGGGACTGTTTAAACTTAACACAAGAAAACAAATACATGTACTTCATGAGTAAATCAAGACCAATATGTAAAGAGAGACACTCAGTACAAGTAATTACCATTTAGATTTAACCAGTGATGGGCAGTGCTAACCCAAAATTTAGCTTTACAAATTCAAAAGCGCTTATGCCATAGAAAAACTAGTGGAAACTAATTTTAAAACGCGAGTTCAATTTAACACTCACTAGCTGGCAGTAATTCATGTACAATACATGCACAATGAAAATTGTAAAGCGTCTTTGAGGGTCTCGAAAAGCGCTATATAAGACTAATGCATTATTACTATTACAACACTGCCAACTAGTGGTGTATGAACTCTTTTACAACTTAATCCTACAACCGCCAATAGCTGGGGATGTGATTTCCTGAAACAGACCTTTAGCTCCTGGTGTAAAAATTAAAAAGTTGTTGAGGATTACTAGTTCGGCTGCTTCTTTGTGTTTTTCTTTTGTTTGTTGTAGATTTTTCATTAAAGAAGCATCAATAAAGTCATTTTAAAACTTTTTACAGGAAAACTGAAGCGATGCATTCTGGGTACATGACGGATTTGATTTGTGACGGAAACGAAAGCACGCAGTACAGGAAACTTGCTATCTTCCCTTCAAAATAAGAGCTTGGATTTTAAAGTTTTCCATGTAGTTGCTCAAGTTGATCACTAGATGTCAGTCTTCATCAGCATAACATCTTTAAATCATTTCTTCGTCTCTAACCCCGTTGGCCAATTACTTCGACCATTTACGTCAAGTATTGAGCTCCAGCGTTTAAACTTTTTTTTTTAAAAAGCAGCTTCGATTGTAAAGTAAAATAAATCAATACATACAAAATTTTATATGGATTACAAACATTAATTGTTTTCGCCCGGTCACATAGTTCTAACCATTGCCTTCCTGCTATGTAAGCAGACACAAAGCATTGTGGGAAATTAGAACCGTGACCCAAAGCAACAGTCAGCAAGGATGTATACCTTCTCAATAAGTGTGTTTATCTGGGAGGGGTGTTGTTGGATAGATCACGTGCGTTGTGATTCATTGACAGCCATACCTTCTGCTGTACAAGATAATGATGACTGGTAGACAATTAGTTATTAGCAGTACTGCATTTTAATTTTAGAAAGCACAAATCCACTTATGATTAATAAAAATTAGTAAGACCGCTAAAGCACAAACAAAATATATAGGTCTGCAATTAGCGGATTTGCGCTTTAGAGGGCTGGTGCCCACCACTGGATTTAACCATGAGTTCTGAAAGTATTATAAGTGGAAAAGAATCATGTTTTCAGGTTTGCTCTGCTTTATGTCTCAACATACCATTTACAAATGTAGAAATTATTATGTGCTAGAAAAATTAAATAAACCTCATCACAAATTTAGTTGTACTGTTGCTGTTTGTTTTTTAATTGTTAACTTATTTGAGGTTGAATTGTAGCTGCATTAAAAAATACACCTTTGGCAAATTTTTACATTTAACTGGTTTGGAACAAAACTACTAATTGTCATCATAGGAAGGATTTATGGACCTTCGATTTAGCCTCCTGTATCAAAATAAAGACAATGCACACATGCCTAAAATCTTCTATTCATCTAATGGCCTGCAGGTGATATTTGTGCTGATTGCAAATATTACTGCTTTGGTATAAAATCTATGAGAAAAATGGCTACAATGTTTATTAGACTTGTGACCTCAGTAAACCTCATTTCCTTGAACGTCTCCATTTTCAAATTCAGGTTTAAATAAAGTATAAAGTCCTTCTATAAATTCTGATCTTTTTTAGAGTAGGACAATCCACACAATAAAAGGGTGATGTGCATTTTGTTGAGGCTTCATTATTATTGACAAGCTTTTGCCTAGTGTGAAAACACAGTTTACACATTTCTCAATTGTCATATCCACTGTTCATCCCTTATCTGGTTTCAAAAATACAAAACTAATATTTGAAAAACTCTATGCTTGTGATGAGAATCCCCGAACAAATTGGTGACTGTTCAGTGGCTTTGGCCATTTATTTGATATAGCCAGTGGTGGGCACCAGCCTGCTAAAGCGCAAATCCGCTAATTGCGGACCTAAATATTTAATTTGTGCTTTAGCGGTCTTACTAATATTTATAATTTATAAGCAGATTTGCGCTTTCTAAAATTAAAATACAGTACCGCTAATAACAAATTATCTACCAGTGATCATTATCTTGAACAGCAGAAGGTATGGCTGTCAATGAATCACAACACATGTGATCTATCCAACAGCACCCCTCCCAGATAAACACACTTATTGTGAAGGTATACATTCTACCTGACTTTTGCTTTGGGCCACGGTTCTGATTTCCCACAATGCTTTGTGTCTGCTTACGTAGCAGGAAGGCGATGGTTAGAACTCCCTGTCCCAGTAAAAACCGTAAACGTTTGTAAACCATACTAAAATTTTGTATGCATTGATTTATTTTACTTTAAAATCAGAGCTCCTTTTTAAAAAAAAAGTTTAAACCATGGAGCTCAATACTTGCGTAATTGGTCGAAGCAATCAGCCAATGGGGTTAGAGACTCAGAAATGACTCAGAGATGATGATGATGTTATGCTAATTAAGACTGACATCTAGTGGTCAACTGGAGCAACTACATGGAAAACTTTAAAATCCAAGCTCTTATTTTGAAGTTTGCAGATAGTTTCCTGTCCTCTGTACTTTCGTTTCCCGTCACAAATCAAATCCGTCATGTACTCATCGCTTCAGTTTTCCAATAAACAGTTTTAAAATTACTTTATTGATGCTTCTTTAATGAAAAATCTACAGTACAACAAACAAAAGAAAAAGACAAAGAAGCAGCCGAATTAGCAATTCTCAACAACTTTTTGATTTTTACACCAGGAGCTAAAGGTCTGTTTCAAGAAATCACATCCCCAGCAATCAGCGATTGTAGAATTAAGTTGTAAAAAAGTTTGTACACCTCTAGTTGGCAGTGTTGTGCATATATTGTACATGAAAATTTGCCAGCTAGTAAGTGTCAAATTGAACTTGCGCTTTAAAATTAGCGTCCGCTAGTTTTTCTATGGCATTAAGTGCTTTTGAAGTTGTGTACCTAAATATTTTCATACAGTAAGTGCTTTAGAAATTGCGGGGCTAAATTTGGATTAGCGCTGCCCACCTTTGGATATAGCCTATGCAAATAATCAAGTGTTGGTCATTTACTGGAAACAAAAGCTTAAAACAACACATTATAACAAATCTATTTTATTTGTTTTAGTGTTTTCTGCTATTTGACATCAGTTTAAATATATATACAGTTTGAGCCTTCTGTTGCTGTTGTTCATCAGATATTCTTTGTTGTGAAATTGATATGTGTCTATCGTTGTGATTCCATCCATTAACTTTGCAACTTTGCAAAAGTAAGTGTGGTGACCAGTTACAAAAAATGTAACTGGACTATTATTTTGTAGTTGAAGATGTGTCACTTCCCATCCAGGGAGCTTTATCATTTCAAAACTGAAGTAAGTGACATTCAACATCTTTAATGACTAAAAAAATCCAGTTGATTCATTTTGTTAAACTTTTGGGATTTTGTCCTGGATGACTGAAAATCTACACCAGCATACAATAGCTACAATAGCTGCTTTCTGACCAAACAGTTCTAATGCTGCATTCACACCGAACGCGATTTCAGCTTCAAAATCGCAGCCAACGCTGAAGTTGGTCACTTGTGCACTTTGAGGTCAGACGCAGGTCAGCTCTTGAAGCGCTGCACGGCAASAGCCTCCCCGCCCCTCCCTCCTCTGTCGGGCTCTGTTTAATGTCGGACAAGAAAGTGGCTTTGCTTTATTTACAGAGCGCAAGAGCATGTCACATTCATCAGATAATTATTTCATAATTAATTCACCAGATAATTCAGAGACATTCTRAGTTTCATCACCCAGCAGCTGCAGGAGAGGCTCACAGCTCGCTTTCAGGACTATTTTTGTCCCGAGTCCAGTCTGATGAGTCGCTGCCACGCCTTGGTGCGGATATCTCCTGTCAGGACACCGACTGCAGGCACTCGATTTCAGCTAAAGAGCTCCTCTCCATCTGTTTCTGGTTAGTGGGCATCATTCAGTAAACTGTCCCGTCGGGAAAAATGTCGCTACGTCACACAGTGGAGACTCTCTGATTGGTTGACGCGGCACGTCGAGCTGCAAAAGTTCAGATTTTCTAACTTCAGCGATTTGCGCCTTAGCTCGTCGAATGATCAGATCGTTCAAATTGTGCTTGAGGCGCCGCAGCACTTCCCGACACTGATTGAAGCGCGTCCACCATAGACTTTGCATGTAAACCTGATGCTCCTGATGCTGAAATCGCGTTTGGTGTGAACGCACCATAAGAGCACTATGAAAATTACAAGCACAGTAAATTCCATTGTGCATAAGTAATGAGCAGGGGTGAAAAGCAGCAGATTACATTTACTTATGTTGCTTCAATTTAGCCTCTCCTTCGGTTGCCACCTTCGGTGGTGGATTGAGTGTTCCAATGATCCTAGTAGCTATGTTGTCGGGGGATTTATGCCCCCGGTAGGGTCACCCAAAGCAAACAAGTCCTAGGTGAGGGATCAGACAAAATGCAGCCCGAAGACCCCGAACGATGATTGCCAACATTGTCTCCCTTCCCATGGGCTCACCTGTGGGAGGAGCCAAAGGGGGCGGGCGCAATGTGTAATGGGCAATAGTCTAAGGTGAGGACCCTGGTGGTCCAATCCTCGGCTACAGAAGCTGGCTCTAGGGACGTGGAATGTCACCTCTCTG